TCAAGTACAGTGAACTACGAGCACACCAAAAGTGCCAGCACATCTACGCCCTCAAGTCAATCCCAATTAAATATGCACAACACTTAATCTATAAACGAATACAGAAAGAATGTTTCAGTAATTCAGGTAGATTAATTTAACACTGAGTAAATATTTTCTAATAACCATTTACTTACAAAATATTTTATCTAATCAGTAAAAAATAAATTTATTTAGTTTTAACGCTTACATATACATGCTGCTTGTTTTTCTCCCTGAAGGCTTAGTCAGTTAGCTCAATTATCTCAAGAGACAAACTTCCATTACTGAACATGAATATATAGCCATACAGGAAGCAATTATCAAAGGAGTGTGGCCAAAAAAAGGGCTGCCAATTTTTCATCGTTTCTTTACCCTCAGAACAAAGGAAAACCAAGGAGCGAGAAGAACAGAAAATCCAAACGATACTTGATATGGCGACTGTACGATAGAAGAAAAATTTTCACTACTTGGATGGTAAAAGTGAGGGAATCGCAAAGAAAGCTGCACAAAAACATTCGCTGTGTTAGGATACCTATGAACGGATCACGTTTACCTTTCATTTGCATTACACGACGGGAACAAGGTAGGTACTCGAAACTTTGCGAAAGCTGTATCCGCCATGGTAGATGATGTTGTTGCAGGACTAGAAGCCTACTGCCTCACTGATTCATCAGCTGTGCAAATTTTGTTTTGACGATTTGGTTTGTTTTTGTTTTAACGATTTGTTTTGTTTTAACGAAGTGAAAACTCTGCCACTGAAAGGTGTGCGTTTCACTGATGGTATATTCGCTATTTCATGAGTTTTGACACTTATACTATGGAGCGAAACCAACCTCTGATTCCAATCGATTTTCGGAACCACCCACTTCGGTGTGTTTACGTTCGTTTATCGCCTGCCATGACATGACAGGAGCAGGTGACGGCCCGTTGGGTAAGAACATTTCATGTTCTCTTTACATGACCTGCATCAATGAAGTATGGTCCCAATGATGAAAAGACCGAAGTACAAGAGAGTAAGGTCACACAGAACCAGCTCTCCTGCAAGCAGCAGTCCTGAGTAATACACATAAGCAGAAAAAATTTCTTTCCATAAGGTAGTCGAGCTAACATTGTTTGTCTGGTGCTGAGCCGAAGATCTTAAACCCTTCAGACTGGAGGTGTTTCGAACGAAAGCCTCGGTTAATATTTGTTTATTTACTTTACAACTTACTTACAGCTATCTAATAGGCCAAGAAGAACAGCTGTGCTAAATAAGACATGGCTGCAAATTTATCACGCTCTGGCATGACCACATAATAGTATGCTGATCGCCCTGATTCGATAGGTGAAATTTTTGTTATCCGTTATTCGGCTGGTTGCATATAAACAGAGTGCGGTGAATTTCTGGCTGACACTCGTAAGAAAATTATATTTGCACTGGGATGCAAATCCACCCCATTACTAAAGAGAAAAGCCTAATTACAACTTATAGCGTCACTGTTTCCATATGGAACAAAAAATGAAAATAATTTTATAAATTCACACCGATAAAACCCTATAAGTGACTAGAAGTAAATATTTTTTGATTTTATGGCTACCGCCATGAAATCGATATTCGGCGTAACATTCTGCATTCTCGCTCTTAACCATGGTGTCTTAAATATCCGCTATAAAATAATTTGTCATATCATTTTCCATTATTAAACCAAGGTTTTATCGCATATGCAATATGAAAATTAATGCAGCCGTGGAAACATCGAAAATCACTCCGTAATAATGATTAAGCGAAACGATAACAAAAAAATAATCTTACTTGACGGTGTACAAAACAAATTCATCAAAATAATGTTCTGTTCGTCGCATTTATGATCCCGCAAAATGTCCACTGCTTTGATTACCGTATTTCCGGTGTCTAAAACTCAGTAATTAACGATAATTACATACAGCAACATAACAATCATGTACTCATGATCGGATACATGAGTAACACTTTGCGCTTATGAATATCCGATATCAGTTTTGCGTACACGATTTGTACTTCATCAGCCTCTGACGACTTCTGGACTAAGATCTTGCCGATTCTTATCGAGCGGCAGCATTCCCGCAGACCCTTCTCCATTACCTCACCTGAAAAACCATTTGTAGAAAGTGTTCAGCACCAGCCAAAAACCTCACCGCTTCTAATGATGCTAACTCCGCAATTTCCCTTAGAAAATTCGACCCCTTCATAAGTGCAGCCTAAAACAATAAGCAAATTTTAAAATGATATCGCTCAAGTTCGAAGCATATCTCCCAAGATCGAGCATGTCGCTCAGCCTTAACCATAGTTTTGCTTATAATCCTGTGGCCGTTTGCAAAGCACTCGATTGTGTCATTACTTCACATCAATACAACAGTCATTCCGGACTGTATTCGAGACCAACGAAGGATTTACGATGCACAGCCGAACTTCTGCTCAGGCCAAGCACCAGTGAACAGATCTTTGCCTCTACCGCATATTTTTGAGGAACTGTGAGAATTTGCCCCGCAGATGTTGAGAAAGCATGTTACTGAATTTCGCGCAACAAACTATGGGTGCGCCTGCACAAAACTGGGATAGATGACTAGTTGCAATCAGCCACCCTGTCATAACATACTGATAGCAAGTACTAGACAATATAAAGCATTAAATCTCGAATTTTCAACGCTGGCAACAATGCGTCCTGTCTGCTCTCCTGCATGTTATGCATGGATAGGACAGCCAAGCGCAGCAAGAGTGACGAGGATATCACAGTCAATGTGGAAACGAGAAGTCTGCATTTCAGCATGTCAGGATATAGCACCTCGCGCATGAGAATGCGACGAATCAAAAACGCTTGACAATCGCCAATATGCAAGCTGGAGTGCAGTGTACAAAGCAGAAATGAACTCAGTACCAACTGCAGTAGCAACTAGATGATATTCGAGAGATTATAACTCACAGAAATTATAGAACCTTACCTCCAGGCTTCATTAGATAACAGAGATAAGAGATGTCAATTATTGACATACCAGTAGGCGTGACTATCTTGCAAGCAATGTATGGAAGCAGATTCAGACTTTCTTCGACTACACATCGAATCTGTAAAAAAGAATTCATTTGTGTCACTTTAACAGAGTACAACTTTACCAGTCGATCAGCACTGAAAACAAAGTCACTCGGTGTGGTGTCTCTAAAACTCGAAGTTTTCAGTTTCATGAAGAAGAAACGAGTTTACTGAGGTGAATTTCAACATCTACCAGAAGAACAGTACAGTACTGACTGTGAGCCTTACACATCCAAATGAAATCGGTTATACTCTCCAGGCATGCAACAAACGTTATTTAGCTGTCCGGTGCTCATTCTTTTCAGCAAGGAATTCGTCGTATCCTCGGAATAGTACGTTACCCCAGCCTCCTATTATGTCATACGCTTTAAACAGTCTAAACAGTGCCTTGCTATTAGGCGATAGGTCAGCCCGATAGAAAGCATGATCCTAAGATCAATTCAGTTCGTTCACCGTTCATGCCCATCTACGGCAGTGAGTCGTGGACAATGACTGAAAACTTCGATTCCTGGTACAAGCGGCTGAAACAGGCTTTCTAAGACGAGTGGTTAGTGCTACACGTATCAACATGGTCCAGAGTACAGAAATCCGCAAAAGCCTTAGTGTACAGCCGCGGCTTATTCAGATTCGTTCGTTTAAGCACGTGTTACAAACGCCAGAAGGAAAGAACGTGAAGAAGCTACTATTTCTTGTCCACCCGACCGCGAAGGCCCGGTAAATAGCCAAGATTAACCTGGTGCAAATATATGGAAGAAGAATGTTCCGGACTCCAGGTGACTTCTGCCGAAACTCAGACTCTGGCAAAAAATCGGGAACGTTGAAAGCACTGCGTGATGCGTTTGCCTCAGCAACCCAAAAGAAGAAATAGTTATGGATGATGAAGATATTTTTCATCGAATTAATTAAAATTCCAAAAAATCTAAATATTAGGTTTCCATACCGAGGTGATATATGACTGAGTTCACATTTATTAACTGGCTACTAAGATCGTCTAGATGTTTTCCATTCTGTTACAACAGCATCATAAAAAGCAAAGAGATTTAGCGATAATCATTTATTGCTAAGATATACGAATCAACAGGCTTTAAGCAAGGTTGAAACAGATGCGCGTACAACCATAATAACATTACAAACCACCACGAAAAAATCGAACCGAACATATTGTGAATGATCCTACCGTACATTTCCTTGTCTTGTGATTCATCTTCTGCACACCTGATGAAAGTCTGGTAGTTCCTATCTACCATAACGGTAAACTGGACTTGACTTGATAAGAAAATGTTACATGACAGATATGAATATTTTAACAACCGTGTCAAAGTCAGTAGTATCTGAAACTCTTATGTCTTCACGATGATGAAGCAAGTTTAACATGGAGGAAATGAATGATGGTCTGAAGAATTTTGTGCGGTTTTATATGTTGACAAATTTAGAACGAGTGAGGTTCTGCGAACGCCAGCTGTGAGGAGATGCTCTAAATACAGTAATGTGGCAAAGACGGAAATAAGCCGGTTACTGCGAAGATGACTAGAACGGTTGCGAGTTCGTTCTGAGTAATGTTACGGACGCGACCACATAGCTTTAGAACTAAAGAGCAACGAAAATTGCCGGATCAGCACAGAGACACGAAGGAAGATCATTAGCATAAATAGAGTTTATAACTTGTGCAGGAACTCCAAGCCGACGAAGTCTTCTCAGAGTGAAAAACGAGACTATAGAAGTTTACTACTTTGGATGAGTACGTTACCCTACCCTACCCACGAACATTACCCAGCTCAGCATTATATCGCCTGCCGGTTTCACGCCTTCGCGATCGGCTTTTACGGCTATTGAGACAACCATAAGGAATACAGCCAACCTGCTTTGTACTGACGAATGATTTGACGTTCTCTAGAAACTGGAACAAACTCCCGTTGATTCTCTAACGACCATTACGATCAATGTGAAATTATTAAGCTCATTAACTTTATCAATTCAATAAACCACTGTTTAACCTACTTTGCTTCACCAGCACCTTCCAATCTAACAACTATGCGACATGAGATCAACGTCAGATGTGGGGAAAAGTGGCAATTTACCAAGAAATCCACCACTTTACAGGTAAAACATTACGAGGGAACGGTTCCGAATATGAATATGACGTTGGTATACTGGAAATTTGAACGGAGAAGGAAAATGGATCTGTTACCGATGAGGAATCTTTGGTTTTCAGCGAAAACGATAAGCAGAGACGCACGGACATCACAAATCTTAATCTGCTTGCAGGTCTGCAAGCATGCTAAAGATGATGATAACAAAAAACAACAACAAAAATAACATAATTATATCAAATCGATACATCCGGAAATGAAGTAATTTATTCATGTCTGAAAGCAGCACAAAAGTGGTTTTCACAAAAGAGTCAGTCCACATAAGATGGCAGCTGGCGTTCCTACAGAAACAGCGGTTGTGAAGCTGCTGTTACTTGTTATCTGAGCATGTACGTTTGAGAGTAACAACGCCTGAATGGCGGAATTGCCTAAACTTATGATGAATGACGTTAGAAATGACATTTCAGACTAACATTAAGCAAAGCCAAATGTCCTTGGCAGACATTAGCACCGACTGAAGACTGGCTGCCCCTCCCATAACACACAAGAAGAAAGCGGCTATGGTCATTCACTGGACGGATTGAATGCTACAAGTTGTATATATTTAAAATATTTTTATGGCGGTGGCAGTGGTTAAGAGGTCGGCTTAGAACTCCGAAAGTGCCGGGTTTGAATCTGCTCAAGTTACAATCTTTGTCTTCACCGCGATATTACGAGAGTAAGGAATTAACTAAAAGAATATTAGGTACAGCACGATAATCGGATCTGTTCACTCCAGAATAGAAGAAGTGTACTATCCGATCAAAGCAATTCTTGTGGCTGTAATTTGCCTTGACCCACCTGACAGCTTATTATCCAGTGTAAAACTCCAGCATAAAAAATGTAATTATCCAACTTATAATCCATATTATGCAAATTATTCCATTATGTAATTATTAGCGACAAAATAACAACAACAAAATCTCCAGGAGCGTTGTTCACCAATGCAAAAAAATTTTTTGATTGCCGTCGAAACGCGATCATTAATAACTTCAATTTTACAAACAGCTAAATTGTTAAACAGTCATTCAATGCCAAACGGCCAGATTATTAAATATAATGAAAACGCTTCAAATAATAAGGCAAAACAGGCTGCAGGTAAAACTCTGAAGCTCTTAAAATATTTACCTATCTCGGATAATTGTGAGCAGCTCTCTGATCTGGTCGTTTCGGGTTATGAGCTTCACATTGTCAAAAGAAACAATTTCGACATCGGCAGCCATCGCGAATAGTGAGACTGAGAAGACAGTAAATCTAAAAAGATGCTCACGTACAGGCGCGAATATTTAAAATCCTTTTCAGCAACGCAACCGACTAAGGACGAATATAAAAGTTAATAATCAAGCAAATAATCAGTCAGTGATTTATAGGCTGATAGAGAATTAGTAAATCATCAGTAAATTTGCAAATTATCTGAACTATTGAACATATTCTGGCAGAATCCCGGTCAAAACAGTGTTCGCTCGATGTTATTGCTGAACTACGAGAGTATGGAGGAAGCAATGACAAGATCAGCCACTAGAGTAGATCTTGCACAAAGCTTAAGCATAGCTACAACACCCTCAAACTACAATAGGAAGTGAATAGTAGGTGATCGTTCATAAGTCAAGCTCAATTTTATTTCATGTTTGTGCACGCATACTCCATAAAGGATTTCGTGGTACGCTCCTAATTTATTCCTCGTCGGCCAGAAATGCCTCTTGTAGTTTTTAAGATTATATTTACATCTAGATTTTCATTAAGGTGCGTGTTCCACTGTTTTATTTTCACGTGTTGGAAGTTGTCGTTTCGTCAAGCCGTCATATAAAAATATAGCCTACCTGAGATTCATCATGATCGGTTATCCTAGAAATTTTGTATCTTTATGGTAAGTGCCCTTCATTGCGCTGATTGATGAAAATTTCTCATCAACAACAGGTCTCCAGTGAGTTGTCTTCGCTACATCATCTGATTACTTCCGATTTTGCGACTGATTTGCATTTTCTTCCATGCAGCTATAAATGATAAGCCAGCCGCGCTTGAGTGCATCACTGGAAATGATCGAATCGTCTATCACTTAAGTGATATATCTGCTATTCCAACTTGTCATAAAAAGTTATCATTCCCCATTGGACTGCCTTATTACATCTTCAGCAGTAGCATTAAAGCATCGTTTGAGGCTGCACAATTGCTCTTCGTGCGCACTTGTAAGCTCAGCCGTTTCCAGTCAGAACAAACAAGTCTAACAAGGAAGCGCAAAGTTCTGATCTTTGTGCTATCTTTATCACCCTTCCAGACCAAACGTTTTACAAATTTTCGAAAATGAAAGAAGCCGGCGTGGTTCTGCCCTTTAGACTTTAAACATGGACTTCATCATGACGGAAATCGTGGTTAAACGATATTTAAATTGTGTACTTCTTTGATGATATTGAGTCTGGCCATTATCGTTTCTGCTTTTTAATCAACCTGTCTTAGCAAAATTATCTTGGTAATGTAAGTACTGATACCTGCTTCTGTTGCAATCATGCACAGTGCTCCAGTCAACATGTGAAGACCTTCTTCGCCGTCGCCTACGAAAGCGATGCCATCATCTAGGTAAAGTTTTCTTTCTTTCTGAATCGATTGTTATCAATACAATTCTGTCGCCATCAGCCCTAAATCTTAAGGAAATGCGGGAACACTTAGGGACTATGACAAACCTCCTGTCAAATGCAGCTACCTGCCCATCAGGGCATTGACGCCGTAGAGAATCATGTCGGCTCGGTCGCCGTCAGGGATAAAAAAACGCTGCGCAGATTGGTTGGAAACTGATGCAGACTGCAAAATATTCGCAAGCAAAATTTACTTCACGCCTTCCTGAGGCTGGGCGTGATATCGCAGCGATGGTCTAAGCAAAACTCAGCATATTCATCGCAGCCCGTTTTTATACGCGAAGGTGAAAAACACATCAGATACGGTTCCGCGTTGCGTATAATGGGAACTCATAGTCAGAAATTGAAAACATCTTTTGATGAAGAAAAATCAGAAATTAATTAATGGGGCAC